TTTGAAAAAACAACCTAGCAGCATCTAGTAAAACTGAATATAAAAATACCTTGCTAACCCTTCTGCCAGTGTTTATATGCAGGAGACACTATCATACTTGTACTCTTGAGAAGGAGTCTACTATATGAATATTTAAAGTAACAGACTATCAGAAACCACTTTAAATTTTAATATGGGAATAGATAAGTTATGATTGAGTCACATGAGGGAATATTCTATGTCAACTGAAAAGAGAAGCTTGGGCTTTATGTATGAGCAAATATCTCAAAAACGTATCAGTTGAAGGAAAAAGAAGTGTTCTATGTTACATAGCAGTGAACAAGAACACTCACAAAGTATGTTATATGCATAAAAACTTGTCTTAGCTTTCACTACTTAAACAGTCCTAAGCCAGAACTTCCTAATTCCTCTCACTTACTACATACATCATAATTCTCATCAAAACAAGTTTAAATCCTACCTTCCCCCATGACCCTGCTCCAGGCTACTGTTATTCCTTTTGTCATCCAAACCACTTTAAAGGTTACTATGTACATTACCTTTATTATCTCAGATCCATGTGAGGGTCAACAAAATTTACTTTACAATTTTATTCAAAATTCACAATAACCACAGCTATTATTACTATTACTACTACTACTACTACTACTACTACTACTACTACTACTACTACTACTACTTTCCCCTCTTGTTTAGCCTGTGTTCTTCCTTGGGTTACTAGTGTCTGCTGAGCCTCATGTGCTCACAGTTAGTGGTGCTCCAAGGAGGTGATAGAACCTTTAGGAGGTGGAACTTCATGCAAGGAAGTTAAGTCAGTAGGAGTTTGCCTCCACAAGGGATATTGAGACCTCAGCACCTCCTACCTTTCTCTTCACATTCTAGCCACTGCAAAGAGGCTTCCTCTAACACATTCTCCTACCGTGACATTCTATGCCAACAGAGGTCCAAACTATGAAAGTAAATGAAAATGGACTGTAAGTTTTAAAACCATGAGTCAAAATAAAATTTCCTTTACTTAGCTGATTATATCAGGAATTTTTTCACAGTAAGGTTATGTTAGTTATAACGTGAATTGTTACTAAGTAGAGCGATTGCCATTACTATAACAATGTGGTTCAGAAGTTTTGATGTTGCTTTGTGAGAGGGATTTGGAAAAGTTTAGAGAAGCAGGTTAGAAAAACGCAGGTTGGAAAAAGACCAATATAAAGACCAGAAGTAAGTTTGAAAAAAAGGATGATATTAGTAGAGATAATAAAGGTTCTGGTAATGAAGTTAGAGATGATGAGAACTCTTGGTTGAAAAAGGACATGTGTGCTAAATCATGGCAAGGGACGTAGACATATTTTATCAATGCCCTGAGACTTTGTGTGCATCTGAGCTTAAAGATGACAGACCATTTCATCTGGTAAAGTTTGAATACATCATAGATTTCAGGCAGTGCTGTAAGTGTGACTGGCTGTTTTTAGCTAGATTTCACAGTGAAAAACAGATAAAAATAGGAGCTGAGTGGAAATTTTTAGGAAACCTTAAGTTTTCCCCAGAGAAGTAGCACAGAGGTACTGCCAAGGTAAGACACAACTATTAAGAGACTAGAGGCTTAATAAAAAACCACATGCTTTGCACCCAGGCAGGAAGATGACGCCAAGGTATCCAGAAAATCTGTAGGACCCCACTCATTGGCTATTGGAATGTGCAAAGATCTAAACTTGTGTCAGGCTGTGCAGGTAAAAACTTTGGCATCGTCCACACAATGCTGGTTTTACAGGCATGCAGAATGCAAGAGTAGTGATGTCATGGAAGAATCCACTGAGTGTCCAAGGGTAGTTCTTGGAAGCCAGGCTGTGTGTGGCAGGGTCAGAGGCCCCAGAGGCAGCCCTGGAGTGCTGACATCACTATCCTTCTTTAAAACAGAACAAAAAGAAAACAACCAAAATGAGCTACATTTGGTGAGGCTTTGGATATCAGGAGAGCAATGGAATGTGTGATTCTGATTCAAATATAACATACGCATGCTGGAAATTCTAGGCTGAAACCAATAGTACAATTAATATAGGTTCATTAGATGGATAACAGCAAAGTAAAAAAGACTCTACTCTGCTGACCAATGTCAGAAGGCAACATCCTATCACAGCAGGCTGGCTAGGTAAAATTCCAAAACGTGATTCCTACTGAACGTAAACTTTACCACTGCCAAGCAAAAAATATGAAAGTGAAACAAAGCTGGCCTGGAGGCCATCTGTAATAGATACGTAGAAAATAAATCTGTCCCCAGATTTTGAATACTGGATTCAGACTGAAAGTTAAGGTTGCTTGTTTGTGGCCAGATTGGTTTTGAATTCTAATGATAACCTCTCATTTCTGGAACTTTTGCTTATAAATAGAGTTCAAAATTGAATGATAATTCGGTATGCTTAATTCTAAATGCATCACTATGTCCAAAACTGCCTAACACGCAAGACAAGGCTCTTAGAAACCTGTGTCCTTCATACCCTCAGTTGTTCCCTCGATGAACATTTATAGAGGAATCATACTGCCGGACATTGCTGGTGGAGTGTGTCTGGAATAGTGAATCTCTGGATCATCTTGACATTTGGTCTTCTTTTGTTTTTGTTTTTGCGAGAATCCTAGGGCTTGCATTCAGGGCATGGATGCTATCCTTGAGAGGTTTTGCTCAAGGCTAACACTCTACCACTTGAGCCACTTCTAGCTTTTTTTAAATAATTTGGTTGGAGACAAGAGTCTCCAGAATATCCTGCCCATGCTAGCTTCGAACTGGGATTCTCAGATCAGACTCCTGAATATCTAGGATTACAGGTGTAAGCCACCAGCACCCAGCCATGGTGCTTAATCTGAAAATAGAGGACTTTTTCCCCTGTTTAAATAATCAGCCAAAGGAAGCCTTAATTGTTTCTTTTCATCTACTGCCTCTTACTCAACCATATGTAATTGGAAACTGCTACAGAGATGAACACAACATGGTAGGAAATATCAGTATAGGTAAGGATAAATTTTACCCACCAAAACAACAATGACATGACAACCCTGGTAAACTTAAAAAAATATAGTTCTATGATCCTTTCAGGGTAGTTGGAACAACTCAAAAATCAAATGAACTACAACTGATGTTTAGTAAAACATGCAACTGCATTAAATTCAATATACTAAAAAAAAAGTCTAAAACACAGTTGTTGCTATTCTTATTGTTTTTAAATCCAAATATCATTCTTAGTATTATATATAATATATTTATATATCTATATATGTATCTATCTCTCTCTATATATCTATATATAGATCAACTTATTTTTGTCCTGGGTCACTACCACGCAAGACTACTATTTTCATGACTGACTTTATAGAGGAAAACCCTGAGGCACTAGGTCACCTGACTTACCTCAGGCACTGAGAGATCACTTGCTCCGGGCTAGTAAGTGCAAAGTACAGGGATTCAAACTGAGCCCCCAGGCTCCAACACCTTGCTTAACATTCATCAATGCCTAGCCTTGCCAGAGCTTAGAAAACCATGAGCTGCTGTTATAAAACAGAACACCCAAAGAGGAAACTCAACTATTAAGAAAAATGTGCCCTGTCTTCTGGAAGCATGCATGCATACAGACACATACAGACAAACTCACGGTTTCATGGTTAAAGGACAAATTTGGCAGATTTGAAATTTAGCAAAAAAGGAAAAGAAAAAAAAAAAGGCATCAGCCCAGTGGTGGAGAAACGGAAGTTAAGGGTATTAGTGTTTTTAGGTTAAATTTTTAGCACCTTGCTTTCAATAATTCAAAAACAAATTTCCATAAGTGTTATGTCCTCAGTATATATCTTGTTATATATAATGCCAATGATGAATGACCTTGAGCCATACAAAACTATGGCGTTTTGTAGTACATTCTGTATCTGACACCTCTGATCTTTGTTGGCCTGTTTGAAGAGAGGAAGAGAGCAGTTTTACCTGCAGACAATCATTCGTTAAATCGGTTTTGACCCTGTGGTACACCTGGCCAACAGACTCCTGTTGCTCCCTTCCCCATTAAGTACTGGAAGACTAGATTTAGAAGACGTTTTTATACCAATCAAACGTGTTTTATATGGCTGAGATGTTCATGTCAGACCTTGAAAACATCCTCGCATGGTTATCAAAAACCATGATAGAACTCGGCTACACGATGAAAATGGCAGTGATATGAAATGGCGCAACACAACAGGGATTCCTCTCGTTAGTGGGGAAACACAGAGGCCTCGCAGGGGTGTGGGCAGATACTGAATCTCCAGGGAAAGAGAGCAGAAACGAAAGGGAAAGTGGCGTGCCAGATGGGAACCCGCCCCTCCGGAGCCCGCCTGTCCCTCCCTCGCTTGCTCGTGTGCCTCTTTAGAGGACACACCGTCATCTGGCTTTGAGATTATCCTGTGCCTCGTGGATAGGCCTTGTGAAGGGGGCACTTTTTCCCTTTCCATGATGGCTCAGCGTTCAGACTTCACTGATGTGCAAATGCACTGAGATACGTGACTTGGGGCCTGGCTGAACCACCACATCCATTTCCTAAAATCCTGGCATCCCTCTACCCTGACAGTGTGTGAAGGGAACAGAATTTCTGGAACGAGATGACCGAGGCTGGGCTCAGGAAGACCAGGGAAAGATGAGCTGTGAGCTGCAACGTGGAAGGGACTTCCTTGGACACTGGCTGAGTTTTCATTTTCACATACTCATTCGCACTATCCAGAACATGCGCTCTCCACGGCTGCACATATCCTGAGCTAATAATGAACTGTGTCTCTCATGCGTGCTGGCAATGCATGCGTGACCACGCTGCTTTTCACTGCCTACGATGAGTAGGTAGAATCCTTAAAATTACTTTCTCTCGCATGCCATGAGCTATACCCCATAGAGTGACGTTCCTAATGCTTACTTCTTTAGTGAGATGTATGTGTACAAAAAAAACCCCAAAGCTCAAGATAACCTTAAGATAAAGAAGACCTTAAGGCACGTGAGATACCTTCTCATGCAGTCCAGAGCGCGGACAAAGAAGTCCTTGTGTAGATGGTGCTCGTCCCGCAAAATGGAGCACTGCTCCAAGGTCACGGACATGGAGGTCCGGTCTTTGGCACTTTTACAGCACGTGAAACGGATTCCATTGAGTCTGCGACAGATCTGGAAGACACAAATGAAAACTGGCTGCTGTTCGTGGGTGTACAGCGGTAACAGGCTGTTGTTCAGCGGTGTACCATGGGGACAGGATGTTGTTTGTTTGTACCCTGAGGTAGCCCTGGCCATCTCTGAACAATCCTAGTCAAGGGACCTCCCCCAGCCTTGGAGTTCAGGCTCACAGATGAAAGTAAATGGGTCCGATCTACTCGGTGAAATGCAGATGGGCAGTGCCTTTTCATTCCAAAAGCCAATGGGGTTGGTGGAATTGTTTTAGCCCTTGGTACATGGGGTGTGGAAATCTCACAGCTAGAGGAAAGGTACCCAAGCAGACGCCTTCGTCTGTACATAATAATGAAAAACCACAGCTCAGGAGCAGCAATCCCACTGGAAACAGAGAAAGTCTCTATTTCCTGCCTCCAATACTTGGTTTGAATCTTAACTAGCCAAATCATCTTATTTTATATTCAAGAAACCTTTGCTAGTTTTGGTCTTATGTGAAGAGGCTTTAAGGCAGTGATACAATACAATGTAAAGGAAACCATCCAGCCATGTTGAAAACACTAAAAATGGCCACCATTTGTTGTACAGCTACCACTGTGTCCCAGGTACAATACTAGGAATGCTTTGCATTCTTTTGCTCTGTTAATTATCTTCACACAAACTCTACAGGTAATATACTTTCTTTGTATAGAGGAGGAAACAGATCTCCTTTTGATTAGGTTAAGTAAATTGTACTCAACAGAGGCAGAAACCAGCATTCAAATATAGTTTTTCCTAAGTCTAAAGAACAAGACTTTAAAGACTGTGACATCTTGTTTTCTTTTATAATTATTTCTTTTATTATTCTAAGTCAGAGCAGAGTCTCTGAACAGCAATATTTTCTCCTCTCATTGCTTTGTGATTAGTGGGCAAGTAACTCCATGCTTTGTGTTCTGTCCCAGGACAGGCTTATGAGACACCAGTAATCCAGTTGCTAACATTGTGAACATCAACACTGTTAATCAAAGGGTAGCTAAGATAAATTTAAGGTGATATGATCTATACTTTATTAATCTCCATGAAGGATGCCTTGAGATATGTCTGTATTGTAAAAAGAAAATCTGGCAGTTTTTATCAAGGATTTTTAATGTACTTTAATTGTGAGGCTGATAATTAAATATTTATATGTCCACATTAATTTAGATCTTTATTACCTTCTATTTCAATAAAAGCAACTAGAGAAATATGAGGGCATGATATCACCATATGATTTTCTTGTGCTTAGAAAATTCAAATCCCTTCAAATCAACAATATTTCACATGTTTAAAGCTGACTACAGTCATAGTAATAAAATAGGCCTTAATAGCTACTACTGAAATATGATTTTTAAAGGAATCAATATTCTTCATATAGATATATAGATATAGACATATATCACTTACGATATTTAATGTTCTATATTTAAAATCAGGCAGAGGTGGGGAATTTCCATCCTAGCATCTTGATTTCTATATCAAGAAATATGCAAATTTGGCTTAGCCCAATTTGACTTAGCATTTGGAACCTTCCGTTTCTTGTTTTTATCATTTAAATTAAATCAAGTTAAAGGCAAACAGCTTTGTATTTTTCAATAAAGAGTGTAAAACATTAGCACAGGCAGTATTTCATCAGGTTTCAAGAGAATAAAGAGATACAGCAATAAAGACTTTTTGGAAAATACAAAGGGCATTCCCATAGTTCCTCATCTCAAGTGTCTCCATTTACAAATAGGCTACAGAAACACATATCAGCCTATAGAAATGCTGCAGAGCATCCATTCAACTGTAAACTGTACAGAAGCAATATCTGAATAGTGTACACATTTCAGAGGGGTATTTTAGAAATGACAGGAAAGTTGAATATACCAAGCGAAAAGCATTTTTGCGTGCATTTCTGTACGCTTTAATTCACCTCTTTATAGAATTTCACAATATTTATATAATGGCTTATTCATATGTTCCCAAAGTGTCAGATTACCCCGGCAAGTATTCAAATTACCAGAATGTCATTATGTTTTGAGTACAATAGAAAAATTAACTTCTAACCTACCATTATAAAATTGGGTGAGAATGAACCATCACAGAAGTCTTTGAAAAGAAACAAGTAAACAGCCACCCCGGGGAAGAAATACTGCAGACAGTCTTCCTGAAATTCAGTATGGTACTGAAAATGGAGCACTAAAAACCTGGTGCAGTGGTAGAATGCCTGCTTAGCAATTGTGAGACCCTGAGTTCAAATCCCAGTACCACCAGAAGTAAATACATAATCAATATGGAAACAGTATAAATGAGCGGCCTAAGCAATGCTCCCTGGTAAGGTTACCTTTGATGTTCCTCCCTGGCAGTCCTGGAAAGCATTAGGGAAAGCTAGCTCTCCTCCCCCTTGTCCTTGGTAAATTACCTCATATAAGCTTGTGGCAAATTATCTTTCTTTTCTCTCCTACCAAAAACATAATAATAAGCAATATTGGGTTTCAATGGAAGTATGGGAAGTAAAGAGTTTGTATTAAATGTTATTGAGGGCTGGGAAGGTGGCTCAGTGGTAGAGTGCTTGCCTTGCATGCCTGAGGCCTTGAGTTCAATTCCTCAGCACCACATAAGCAAAAAAGAAAAAAACCGTAAGTGGCACTGTGGCTCAAGTGGTAGAGCGCTAGCCTTGAGCTGAAGAGCTGAGGAACAGTGCCCAGGCCCAGAGTTCAGGCCCCACGACTGGACCAAAAATAAAAATAAATAAATGATATTGAGAGGGAAGAGAGAATACTCTAGAACCTTGGTTACCCTACACTCCAAATTGTAAGAGTAGCCAGCCGCAAAGAAACCAAGAACACAGCATTCAACACGGCCTTTCCCATGGAAAGGATGCTTCCTATGGAACATTTTAAGAAAGCTTGTAAACTTTACATGAGCTCTGCCTGAGAAGAGCTTAAAATACACCAGCATGCCTGCCTGTAACCGCGGTGGAAATCTGGAACATGAAACGAGGTAGACCTTCCACCCGAAGGGTGCCATTAAGTGAGAAGGAATCACACCAACGACAGCTCAGTGCTACACAGCAATCCATCAGTGATACACTCTCTGCCAATATCTAGATGAGAAAGCACATTTACAGGCTCATTAACTGAACCATACATCCAAGAGCCTCACTAAGGCTGTGAGTCGGAGATCGGAGAGCCACATTCTCACTGGATATACGGGTCTCTAGAGCTACTGATGGAAATCCTGGCTGATACGGACCCCCAGTCATTGTCTATAGCCTGAAACACCAAGAAAATCAGGGCTACTTCATTTGAACTTCAGAATGACAACATACAGCAGGCTTAGTCAGAACAGCTCATGAGTAAGGTGCTTCTGATCGACAGCAGGAGAGAGAACGTGACCTACTGAGCTACCCATGAAGTTTTCTTGAAGGCATGTGTAAAGGACACAATAAGTGTCCTGCAAAGAGCTAGGAAGATCCCATGAGGTTAGCAACAGGTGTGAAAACACCTCACTTCCCAGATGATGGAGGCTGACATTCAGGAACCCCAAGTGTGCCCAACTGGGTCTGCGGGGACCCGCGGGCTGACGAGTGCTTACCGTTGCCGCCAGCCACATGATTTCTACGTTCTTTCTTTTTTTGGCTTGGATGTTTTGATGTAGGTTTTCTAGCAATCCTTTTAAATCATTATGTTCTTGAAAGCGTGAAATGTCTGAGAGACAAAACAAAAAAGGGAGAAAAAATAAAACGTGAAACAGTTGTAGCATCACGTTCCCGCGCGGAGTTTTCTTCACTATATTTGTAAATGTAACTTTCAAAGCAGCACACATCCTTTGGAGCTGACGGGATCTGAGCACAGTCGCACTTCCGAACCCCCCCACTTCTGTTCTCTGCTTGGAAACCCGCTTCTGTTTTCTTCATTTCCTGTCCTGCCTTACTGTGCTCAGGTCCACGGATCGTTTTACAAAGAAGGAAAACACTTTTGATGAAGATGATGGCCACTGGCTCATTTTACCTACAAATGAAGACCGAGGTGCCATGAGATATGGCCTTCTCGCTTTTACCACTAGTCATCTAGTGAATATCAAGAAGACGTGCCAAGCACATCAGCGGCCAGAGAGCTTGGGATGTTTTGTGTCCAAACCCAAGGACAGCTTTCTCACAGCAAGTTTCTCAGCCTTCACTGGATCGCGTGAATCAAGACACTGATCAGACCTCAGGTGAATCGCTTAAGACTTTATTGGGGGAGGGTCTTGAGCGTTAGACACTGTCTGGCAGCCAGCATCTCCGGAACCTACTTTTCCCATGCCAGAGTAGCTTTGCCTTTGTGACAATTAAAAACATGCAACTGGGCATTCCCAGAAGGGCCCATTGTGGAAAATAGCCTATCCTTGACAAGAACCACTGCTACGAAGAAGCGCAGCTGTTGGCAGGGAAAGAATGACACAGGAGGTCACCAATGACATGAGAAATTAAAATAGGAAGCATTGGAAATGTCCATGATCACACAGACTTCTTCATGCTAATAACTAAAGCAGGGTAAAAACTGGCTTCATAGTACACTAAAGCCACACCAGTGTCCCTGAGATGGTAGGAGGGGATTTAAGGCTAAATGACAAAAATTGGAAACAAAAAGTATTTTTTGTTGTTGCTGTTATTTGTTGTGGGGCTCAAACTCAGGGCCTGGGCAGTGTCCCTTAGCTCTTATGTTCAAGGCTAGTGCTCCACCACTTTGAGCCACAGTGCCACTTCTAGCTCTCTGGTGGTTAATTAGAGATCAGAGTCTCAGGCTGACTTTGAACCTCGGTCCTCAGATCTTAGCCTCATGAGTAACAAGGATTACAGGCGTGAGCTTCCAGCATCCAACCATACAGAGTATTTTAATTGTACTGTGTTACCGCTGCATGGTATGCAGATGTGCAGACTACTGAGGTATGGAGAAGTTGTGAGGGCCCTGACTAGACTCAATAGAGGGTGAGGGGGAATTCTCCTCCCATGGACAACATCTCCATGACTCTGTCTCACAGTGGAATCTCACTGGGTAATCTCACTGAGTAATCTTTATTACTTATTCTTGGTTCAGATCTCACACTCCAACACAGGACTTTATTAGGGATAAGGATTCCATCTTTTTCAAATTTATACAAAGATATTTCATCACCAAAGTAACATAACCAATTAGTTCTTGATATTCACTTCACAGAATAGAGAAAGATATACCTGTCACATTGCTAGGTAAGAGAGTCATATATATCATGTTTTTCTAGACTAAAACAAATTGTAGCTGTGAAGCAATATATTTGTTGGCTGTCAGTGATGACTTCATTATATATATATTAAATCATCAAATTATATGCCTTAAATATATAAAATTGTTAACTCTGAAGCATATTTCAATTTAAAATTTTACAGTGTCCTACAGAAGTCTCATATAACCTACATGCACACACACACACACACACACACACACACACACACACACACACACAAATACCTCTGTAACAAAAATTTTATGCAACAACATTGAGCCATAGTGTACACACTGTAAACTAAATATTTTGCCATCATTATAGCTCTAAACACCAATATCCATCTATCAAGTTGAAATAACAGTTTGTAAATCAATCCGAAATATTTGCAGTGCTAACTTCAGGCAGCAGCTCAGGTCTAAGATGCTTGTTATAGTTAGGAATTCCGATGGCCTGGAGGGACCATGGGTCAGTAAATGTTCATTACCTGGGGGGTTGGCAGAACATTTGGGGGGGGAGGGGCTGGTGAGAGGCCCTTACATCACTGGAGGCTTCCCTTAAAGGGGATGAATGTCTATGCAAATCTCCTTAAGTATAGTCTTTGTTTCCCTCCAAGTGGGATTCTAGAGAGCAATCAGAGGTGCAGAAACTACAGAAACATCCATTGCATAATTGTTTATAATAGCAAACAAACATGTAAAACACATAAAGGTTCAGAGTGAACAAATTGTGTCTTTAGTCCATGTGCAGTAAATTATATACTATATAAAACAGTGATAATAAATACTAAAATAGGTTAAATGAATAAAAAACAGCATATGTATCAACAGATATATCATAAAACTTGGAGACAATTGTTATGTGATGCCAGAAATAACATAGCTAAGTATATAGGTTGTATATATTTTATAACTCTAGTGTAAAACTATTTATGATAATGCCAAATGTGAGTTTGGCAAACATGAGTTTTTGGGGTTTTTTTTTTTGTTTGGTTTTGTTTTTCAGAAAAGGAAGTGTTGGGTTGGAGCTTAGGGTACAGAAGGGATTTTTGTCCTATCTGGAAATATTTGCTTTTCACAGAAATTTTAAGGCTGCATAATAGATTCTCCAAATGTTTGCTATTTATGATTATTTTGTTTTTTGATGTAACTATCATAATTCTCTTAGAGAGAAAACAGTGAGCCAAGATTCCAACTCTACCCCTGCTTTGCCGTGCAGTGTTAGGCATAGTTCTATGCCTCGCTCCCCATATTTCCTCCACTGTAAAATGGGGAGTGGGACCCTGGCAGCCATCTCTGATCCATAGTAGGAAACAAGTAATACAACTGTGTCAGGAGAGCTACATTATTAAATTCTGCATAAACTCTAAAGAAACAGAGTTCATAGCCTCAGCTGGGAAGGCTGCTCCTTCCTGTAAGCATCACAGTGTAGGCAAGATAGCACACATTTTCCTCAACCACTTAGCACACAACCACCATCACCAGCATTCCCAAACCCCACAAATGTCCAAAGAACAGCAGCTCTGTTCTGCTAGTCTTCTCGAGTTGTCAAATGGGATTTCAACAACAAGAGTTCTGGATACGTGATTGGCCTGAGTCCAAGACAGGGGGCCGAGAGTAAACAGGAATGTGGCTAGGAGTTCTCAGCTGATTGAGCTGTGATGGTAATGACACCACAACAGTATTTTCATTTTCTCATGGTCCAATGACTTCATGATTTATGCTAGAGAGTGTTCCAAGATGAAATGAAAATGATGGCCCCTTTCCCAGTTACCCAACTCACTCATTTTCCACTTAGTAGCAACACAGAATTTACATAGGATCAACTGTACCTTTACTTCAAAATTAATTTAGGTAATCTAGACTGAGAATTCTAGTGGCTAAACCAGGTTTCAAAATCTTCAGTTATGTTAATGAACAAAATCCTTCTTAGTCAAACTCACTGCAGTCAAGGTTTCTGTCACTTGGATTCAAAAGTATTCCAAGATCTTTCCAAATTATTATATGTGTGCTTCAGATTGCAAATGTGTACTGTTGGTTTCAAATGTGGAGAGGACAGGTAAGATTACAGCTAGAGAACAGCAAGTCAATCGTGTGATTTAAAACACAGTCTCCACATCCTTTGACATGCCAACTCTAGGGCAGGAGGACCCATGCTCTGGAATGTAAGCCATCTGGCTACTGTCCTGACGAACAGGGTGGCAGAGGTGATGGTATGCAACTTTTGAGACTCCTACTGTTCCTGTCTGGCTGAGAGCCAGGTGTCTGTATTCTTTCCACCTTCTCCATAAGAATTAATATGTGTTATGTGTCACTAAGAAAAACCTATGTTGCATGCAGTTCCTGGTCATATGATACAGACAACAGTCAGCACCCAGCTTTTGGGGTGAACTGTCTTAGGTAAAGAGTGAGAGCAGGAAAACCCCTGGTACTCCCTGCTTCCAGCCACCCTGTTCCTTCTTTCTTCCCTCTGAGACCACAGCTAACATGGGGCAGAGACGAACCATCCTTGCTTTCCTGCTCTCACCCCCTTTCCTACTCTCACCCCCTGAGTCCCCTAATCCATGGAATTGGGAACTTTATATATGTGGTTTCCATCTCCTGTCTACAAACTTCATATTTTTTTCTTACCTAGCAATAGCTCAGATGAATAATCACAATAAAAGCAACTGAGGAAAGGCCTGTACCTACTTCCATGTGTTATTAAAAAAAAAAAAAGGATGGTTTTCATAGTCTTCTTTGGTTGGCATTATAGCCTATAAAACGCAGTCCCTGTATTAACTCCGAAAACAACTATAGTTAATTATACTAGCAAGCAGATAAATTAAATTGGATAAAACTCATTGTTCCATCTCAGAATTCTATATTATATCCTTTTGGAGGCAATGAAATCTTTTAAAAATATGAAAAGACAATGCTTCTCCAGCTATGTGCACTTAAATTGTATTTTCAATCACAGTTTATGAAGAAGGTGATATAAGAAATCAAATAGCAAAACCCCAACCTGATCAGAACTGAATCATTTTGACCCATAACACTTTCAGCACACCCTCTTAAGTACATTCAAGGGTTCGTCTCCAAAGCAATTGGGGACATTTTTAGAAATAACTGTTAAAACACATTCCAAGCATTGAATCATAATCCTTCACATGAAATTCCCTTCCTCTGTAGTGTACACTGGGGCCATGACACATGATGAGTAAGGACAGGAATGAAATTATGACACATTATCTCCTAGTTTTTTTTTTTTTTCTTTTTTGGAAATAATTTATGATTTGGTTGCAGAATCTTAAAACAAGTTGAAGTCATGTCAAAGGGCTGAGAAATGGTTTGCAGCTAACTGGCTTCCTAATGCCTGGGTTCTGATCAGTGCAGACATCTGAGGCAGCTGCATACATGGGTAGAGAGCTGGGTATAAAGAGACTCGTGTGAAGGAGGTCTTCGGTGGGCGGCCAGTGCAGTCT